GGGACTTTCTGGCAAAGTCAGGCATGTAAGATATTTTGACATAATTATATGTATTTCATTGATGAAATGTTACTCAGAGTGCAATAATATAGCACCAAACATTCTGTAAAATTTCTGGTTCACTGTGATACACCAAATTTAGATCTTACGAGTCTAAAGTGTGTTTCACCAGCCAAGCAGAACACAGACTGTGTCATTTTTTTTTAATCCTCACATACTTTCTGATGTCTCCTTCTCAATTTCTACCATCAAAAGAACCCTCTGTTTAGGCTGCAATCCTATACACACTTGCCTAGGAGCAAGTCGCATGCAACTCAGTAGGGTTTATTCTTGAGTAGGCATGTATAGGATTGCACTGTTAGGTCACAATGCCCTGTTCCAAATGTCCTTTTGGGTCATTATCATATGCTGAAATAAACCATTGGGAGGAATAAATAGAGTGGAATATAATCAGAGAGCCTTTGTTGTCTTCAGCAGCCTACTGAATGACTACATGACATCCACTGCTCTCTGACATGAGAGGCATCTGGTGCACATAAATAAATAAAAAGGCTGACAATACAGTTAACGTTAATACCATTGAATTTGGTTGCAATTGGTAAGCTGGCAAGCTGTTTGCTCATTGCTACTCTGACAGAAAGACTATAATAAAATATATGAATTAAAACTATTAATTGTAAGTGATAGCCTTAGGTTCTGAGTCAATAAACCATCTGATTGTTTTCCCAAATAACATTTAAGACCATTTAATTTATACCCTGAATGAATATTGATAATTTCTTCAAATTGTAAGAAGAAAAATAAACCCTTCTTCTTAAAACTGAAACATTTACATGAAAATCCTTTCCATACCTTTCAAAATAAACGTGGGTTAGTATCTGTCCCAGATAAGTGAGACTATGGCATTTCAGGAGAACACTTGGGAAACTTGAACAATCAACTTGTTTGTATTCTACTTAATTCTATTTATGGATATCCTTCTCTAATGATTCCTACTGATAGGAGTGTACTAGTGATTTCAAAAGGTATGCTCAAGTAATATGGGTCTCCCCTTTGACATATTTTTTTTGCAAAGATGAGGGAATTTTATGGATTTCTCCAGATGTTTTTGGAGTGTAACTCCAAGCACAGAGAGTAATATTGGGAGTTGTAACTCCACATCATACAGAGACCCGCATAATTCCCACCCACAATTTTAAAGGATCAGTGGGCCTCCAAATCATGCCATTGAACACTTCTACGAAACTACTAAGAGTCATATAAAATTTCAACTAAAGAGCGAGCTAATGGCACTCTTATCATTTACAACACTTCTTAGTGGAATCATTGACAGCTGCAAAGGACTGAATGCTGCAGGTTGAAAGTTGAGGCGGAGGAACTGTTGGTATGTCTGGACTGACAACAAGGATGCTGCAATTTCTGATAAGGTTACAACCTCCCAAAGAAGAATCAAGTTCCAGTCTGGAGGTTATTCTTTGATCTAAAGCATGTCTGAGGGACATAGAAGGAGAGATAGCTAGAATTGTGTGTAGGTCCCCCCCCCCCCCACCCCAAATCAGCTTCAATGGGTTCATCAGTTTCATCTATTGCGGGATAACTCAAACTGGGCTCACAGGGCTTTGTAACCACAAAGTCTCCGTCAATGACAATATACAAGGTGCTACCTTAAGAAAGAGTGGGAAATTTCGCCACTGCCAGGCTCCTAGCTGAGAGAGGTCCATCCTGGATGCATCCCCCACTCTCAGTTTTTATTATTATTATTATTATTATTATTATTATTATTATTATTATTATTATTTTACTGACATAAAACCACAGTATGTTACAGCAAATGAGATCTATATGCTGGATTTCGTATCACAAAATCACAAGTTGAACACTTTCCAAGCGTCTAGGACTGTCTGATGTATTTTCGAATGATGCGTGCAGATCCAAGTAAGGTGGCTTTTTGCAGTTGACAGATCGTGATTTTGTCAATGTTCATTGTTTCCTAATGCCGGCTAAGATCTTTTGGCACGGCACCCAGTGCACCAATGACCACTGGGACCACCTGTACTGGTTTATGCCAGAGCCTTTGCAGTTCGATTTTGAGGTCCTGATAACGGCTGAGTTTTTCTTGTTGTTTTTCCTCAATGCGATTGTCACGTGGTATGCCGACATCAATAATCCAGAAAATTTTCTTTTCCACAATCGTGATGACTGGTGTATTGTGTTCCAAAACTTTGTCAGTCTGGATCTGAAAGTCCCACAGTATTTTTGCGTGTTCATTTTCCACTACCTTTGCAGGTTTATGATCCCACCAATTCTTTACTGCTGGTAGATGGTACTTATGACATACGTTCCAGTGAATTATTATTATTATCATTATTATTATTATTATTATTATTATTATTATTATTATTACTATTGTTACTATTTGAAACACAACAAGATGAGTCCACAGCAAACAAGATTACTCTGCTGGCTGTTGTATTGGATCACACATCAGACACTTCCCAAGTGCCTAGGACTGTGTGATGTATCGGTGAATAATGCGTGCAGATCCCAGTAAGGTGGCCTTCTGAAGCTGACAGATGATAATTTCATCAGTGCTGATTATGTTTAAGTGCAGGCCAAGGTCTTTAGGCACTGCACCCAGTGTGCCGATCACCACTGGAACCACTTTGACTGGCTTGTGCCATAGTCTTAGCAGTTCGATTTTTAAATCCTCATATCATGGCAGCTTTTGCAGTTGTTTCTCTTCAACCCTGGAAAGCACACAACAACAACAGTCCTATCTCATCAGCCAAAAGCAGGTCCACACATCCCACTGAAATACTAATAAGTTTATATTTGTTAAAATTGTTCTTCATTTTAATTAGTGTATTGTTTTTAAGTGATTTTTCCACTACAAATAAGATATGTGCAGTGTGCATAGGAATTCATTCATGTTTTTTTCAAATTATAATCCGGCCCTCCAACAATTTTGGGACTATGACCTGGTGTTCTGTTTAAAAAGTTTGAGGACTCCTGATCTATGGCTTTAAAGGTCATAACCAGCACTTTGAATTGTGTCTGGACACAGATTGGCAGTCAGTGGAGCTGCTGCAACAGGGGTTGCCTGCTCCCTGTAGCCAGCCCCTGTTAGTAACCTGGTTGCAGCTCTTTGGAACAGCTGAAGTTTCAGAGAACTCTTCAGAGGCAGACCCACATAGAGCGCATTACAGTAATCCAGATGGGATGTAACCATAAAAACCTTCCAGCAGTGTACGTAAGAATGAGGAAGTACTCCATCAAGGACTCGTCACAAGTGGACGGTGAAGCGACAGCTCCCCCTGTGGCCGGAATTGAACATACCCTCATGAAGCCAGAAAGCTGGAATGTTAAATTGTCTCTGAGACTGTCTATATATGTTGTATGTCTAATGGCACTGAATTAGACATACAACATATATATTTGCCACGTATATGTGAATCATAATCCGCCCTAAGGTCCTTGCGGGGTGAGAAGAGCGAAATATAAATACTGTAAATAAATAAATTTGTAGGATTTTTCAGAGGCAACGCTAATGTTTCCAGGAGTTGAGTGTGATGACTGTAGACAGTCCACGTTTCCCAGGCATATAGCAGGGCTGGGCGGACAATAGCTTTGTAAACAAGCACCTTGGTATCCCCATGGATGTCCCGATCCACACCTGGAATATTGTGTCCAATTCTGGGCACCACAGTTGAAGAGAGATATTGACAAGCTGGAATGTGTCCAGAGGAGGGCGACTAAAATGATCAAGGGTCTGGAGAACAAGCCCTACAAGGAGCAACTTAAACAGCTGGGCATGTTTAGCCTGAAGAAGGGAAGGCTGAGAAGAGACATGATAGACATCTATAAATATGTGAGAGGAAGTCACAGGGAGGAGGGAGCAAGTTTGTTTTCTGCTCTTCTGGAGACTAGGATGTGGAACAATGGCTTCAAACTACAAGAAAGGAAATTCCATCTGTATATGATGAAGAACTTCCTGACTGTGTGAGCTGTTCAGTAGTGGAACTCTCTGCCCTGGAGAGTGGTGGAGGTCCCTTTTATGGAGGCTTTTAAGCAGAGGCTGGATGGACATCTGTCAGGAGAGCTTTGAATGCAATTTTCCTGCTTCTTGGCAGGGGGTTGGACTGGATGGCCCATGAGGGCTCTTCCAACTGATTCTATGACCCTTAAACACTCAAGGCTCTCCTCAAAAGGGGACTTTGGGCCCACTTTATCCTGGCTTGAGTTGAGGGGGCTAAAGGAACAATGGCTTTTAAGCAGAGGCTGGATAGCCATCTGTCAGGGGTGATTTGAATGCAATATTCCTGCTTCTTGGCAGGGGGTTGGACTGGATGGCCCATGAGGTCTCTTCCAACTCTTTGATTCTATGATTCTATGAAGGCCTTGACAACCACAAGAGGGGCTAGATCAGGTTTGGGCCTCCAACTCCCAGAATTCCTGACAATTGAACATGCTCGCGAGGGCTTCTGGGAGTTGGAGGCCCAAACACCTGGAGGGCCGCAGTTTGAGGATGCCTGGCCTAGATTAGAAGCAGAGGAGCGAGGGCCCCTCCCACTTCCAAAAAGTTGCTTAGCAACGGTATCAGGGCGCCTCCACGTGCGCGAGGCGGAAGAGGGAGGGAGAGGGTGTGAGTGAAAGAAGAGAGCCTGCGTTGCGGAGGGAGGTGCGGGTGGTGGGGGGAACAGCTCCCCAGCTACTGTTTTTCGGGGCTGCCTCGCGCGCGTCAGTCAGGTACACAACGGAGGGAGGGAGAAAGGAAGAGCGGTCTCCAAGGACACACGCACACACCCAGCCTGCTCTCCCTGGAGCCAAACTGCCCCTTCGCCCACCGGCTGTTCCGTCTCCACCTCCCTCCGGGAGGCAAGCAGCTGTTTCTCCCTAACGGCGCTGGGCCAATAGCAGAGCCAGGCCACGCCCCCTTTTCCCCCGAAGGGAGGGGGGAAGAGGAGCAGGAGCCGGGCTGAGCCGGGGCGCGCGAGCGGGTGGCGCTCACACGAAAGCCGGCGGCGGCGGGAAGCAGTCGTGTCGCCTTCTTTCTCTCCCTCTCTCTCTCTGTGAGGACCTTCTCTACCTCAAGGCAGAGCCCTCCAGAAGGCAGGCAAGAAGGGAGGAAGGGGCCTTCCTTTCAGAGGGTCAGGGCGGCTCTCGTCGTGTCCCCCCTTTCGGGAAGAAGATGCACACGACGCAGAAGGACACCACGTACACCAAGATCTTCGTCGGGGGCCTGCCCTACCACACCACCGACTCCAGCCTCCGCAAGTACTTCGAGGTCTTCGGGGAGATCGAGGAAGCCGTCGTCATCACCGACCGGCAGACGGGCAAGTCCCGCGGATACGGATTTGTAAGTCAGGCCGCGGGAGTCGGGGGAAGAGGCCTCCAAAATTTGGAAGGGGAGGGGAGAGGAACTTCCTGCAACTTCACTCCAAACTTCTTTCTGACTGGAAGAGCAGCAGTATACATAGCAGGCAGGAATAGCACTGTAAGGCAGAACTTTCCAAACTTTTCCCTAGCCAACTAAGGGTTAAACTGGGCCTGGGCCAAATTGGGCCCTCCAAGTGGTTTGGACTTCAACTCCCACCATTCCTAACAGCCTCAGGCCCTTTCCTTTTTCCCCTCAGCCGCTTAAGGAGCCGAGGCTGATAGGAATGATGGGAGTTGAAGTCCAAAACAACTGGAGGGCCCAAGTTGGCCCAGGCCTGGGTTAAACCAACCCCTTATAAGAGTTTAATCTTATATATATATGTTATATATATATATATGTTATATGTATATTATATTACTGTATATACTCGAGCATAAGTCTAGTTTTTCAGCCCTTTTTTTAGGCTGAAAAAGTCCCCCTCGGCTTATACTCGAGTCAAGGTTATTTATTATTTTCCATGTTATTGTCTTTATTTTATTACATTTATTATTTTACTCTATTATTATTACATTTATTGGAGCTCCCGGTGGCGCAGTAGGTTAAACCCCTGTGCCGGCAGGACTGAAGATCGACAGGTTGCAGGTTCGAATCCGGGGAGAGGCGGATGAGCTCCCTCTATCAGCTCCAGCTCCTCATGCGGGGACATGAGAGAAACCTCCCACAAGGATGATAAAACATCAAATCATCCAGGTGTCCCCCGGGCAACGTCCTTGCAGACGGCCAATTCTCTCACACCAGAAGCGACTTACAGGTTGCTCCTGACACGACAAAAAAAAATACATTTATTATTTTACTTTATTATTATTATTACATTTATTATTTTACTCTATTTATTATTGTTATAATTACATTTATTATTTTACTATATTATCACTGTTATTATTACATTTCCATTATTTTACTCTATTATTATTATTATTATTATTATTACATTTATTATTTTACTCTCTTTATTTGAAGGATGTGTAAGCACATTTACATTGAAGAAGGTTAGAATAATGGTTTAATCAGAGTTGGACAGTCTTATCTTAAATTACAGTTTTATGTAAATATTCAAAAACATTTACTCTACTGATGCCTCAATTAATGCAATTTTATTGGTGTCTATTTTTATTTGAAAATTTACCAGTAGCTGCTGCATTTCCCACCCTCTGCTTATACTCAAGTCAATATGTCTTCCCAGTTTTTTGTGGGAAAATTAGGTGCCTCGGCTTGTATTCGGGTCGGCTTATACTCTATATATGGTATATATATATTATATGAAACTATATATATATACACACACACATTTCGCCGGGGGCCTGCCCTACCACACCACCTATATTACTGTATTACGATATATTGTATGCTATATGTATGTGTTTTATATATATGTATATGTGTGTTATATAATAGTCATAAGCTCTTTACTGTATGGATTTTTTTTCCTTTCTGCTTCTTACGTCCTACGCTTGATTCTTGTATGGTTTTCCTCTATAATTGCTCCGCGGGGTTCCTCACAAAACATTGTCAACAGGTGTCCTTGTCCATTTTAGTGGCGATTACTTCACCTCAAGCCACAAATTGTGCAAATTATGAAAGTTTTAACCTGACCTACACTTGAAACTTGTCGGTATTCTGCTTCTTTTGTGATTAAACCTCTCTGGAGGTTTGTAAACAGAGACTGGATGGTTACCCAGCTTTGCTTTGACTGTGTCTTCCCGTCTGGCTGGAAGATGTAGGACTAGATGCCCTTTGGGGGTCCCCAGATTCTCCTTCTCTGGAGGTTTTTGATGACTGTCTGTTGAGGAGTTCTCATGCTACCCTTCTATTCTGCCTTGGTCAGATCACACTGGGATACTGCGTCCAATTCTGGGCACCACAGTTGAAGGGAGATGTTGACAAGCTGGTATGTGGCTACTAAAATGATCAAGGGTCTGGAGAACAAGCCCTATGAGGAGTGGCTTAAAGAGCTGGGCATGTTTAGCCTGCAGAAGAGAAGGCTGAGAGGAGACATGATAGCCATGTATAAATATGTGAAAGGGTGTCATAAGGAAGAGGGAGCAGGCTTGTTTTCTGCTGTACTGGAGGCTAGGACGCAAAACAGTGGCTTCAAACTGCAGGAAATGAGATACCACATGAACATTAGGAAGAACTTCCTAACTGAGAGCTGTTCAGCAGTGGAACTCTCTGCCCTGGAGTGTGGTGGATGCTCCTTCTTTAGAGGCTTTTAAACAGAGGCTGGATGGCCATCTGTCGGGGTGCTTTGAATCTGATTTTCCTGTTTCTTGGCAGGAGGCTGAACTGGATGACGTACAAGGTCTCTTTCAACTCTATGATTCTATGGTTGGTTGACTGTCTTGCTTGGCTGAAGTGGGTTGGGCTGGATGCCCTTTGAGAGTATCTCCTCTTCCTCTTTACTCCCCCCCCCCCCCCCCCCAGAGATCACTGTTAGGAGTGAGTCAGACAGCTGAGGAGATGAGAAGGATGGTGGCCTCAGGCTTAGAGCTGCCCAAGTGTTGATCACCACTGCTGGTGCTCTGCAAGGGGAGGTTTTTGTGACGCACTGGCAAACAACAGCCGACCCACCAGTGTGTCACGACATACAGTTTGAAAAGCTCTGCTATAGGGCAAGGCTTTTCAAAAATTTCATGTTGGAGGACACACTTTTCAGATATTTAACAACACAGTGGTTCGGTTTTACTCGCAAACCAAAATTTAAACCAACCCCTTATAAGAGATACAGACACATACAGAAATTGCAATGACGGAATGTATGGGGACATAACATATCTTATGAAAACCTTTCATTTATAATAAAATAAGTAAAGGTAAAGGTTTCCTCTTGACATTAAGCTTAGTCGTGTCTCACTTGGAGGGTGGTGGTGTTCATCTCTATTTCTAAGCTGAAGAGCCGGTGTTGTCCATAGACGCCTCCAGAATGACTTTATTTATTTATATTCCGCCCTATCTCCCCGAGGGGTCTCGGGGCAGATTATATATTTTAAAATGTATGATTTATTGCTTATTTCACACAGGCTCAAAGATTTCTTGTTAGATTTGCGTGACACAGATACACACTGCATCTGACAGGCCAACACATAGTTTGGAAAGTTCTGCTGTAGGGGTTTTTCTTTTTCTCTGGTTTGTTTCAACTGCAGGTTTTGAAAGGACCCTGTCGTCCCTGAAGATTGTATATGTTGGGGTGGGGGAGATGAGCTATGGATGGGGGATGTTTGCCTCACACCTGCAAATGAAAAGTTGCCACTGAATCGTTGGCATGAGATGCAGCCAGCTGGTTATGTACTGATACCACATGTTCGCATTTTTATCTCCTCCTGCACATGCTACTGTGTCATTGGTGTTTCGAGCTTGCAAAGTTCTAGTGCTGTGTTGGAGGAAGCTACCATATATATTCATGTACAAGTTGAGAGCAGTTTCTGAGACAAAAATGATAGGTTTTTCTATCACCCATGGATAAATTGAGAGTCATTCCACAGAGAGGGGAAAGCACCAATGCCCTTTCAGGGTCAGTTGCATTTGACTGCCCCTGGCATTTCTCCACCCAGGTATTTTTTAAAAAGCCCAAAATTACACTGCAGTGGAGAGGGGACAATGCCTCTTTTAGATTCTCCTAGGATGAACTAATCTCTAGTCCAGGGGTCCTCAAACTAAGGTCCGAGGGCCGAATACAGCCCTCCAAGATCATTTACCCAGCCCTCGCTCAGAGTCAACCTAAGTCTGAAATGACTTGAAAGCACAACAACAACAATCTTATCTCATCAGCCAAAAGCAGACCCATACTTCCCATTGAAATACTAACAAGTATGTATTTCTTTAAATTGTTCTTCATTTTAATTATTGTATTGTTTTTAATTTTATTTGTTATTTGCACTGCAAATAAGATATGTGCAGCGTGCATAGGAATTCATATGTTTTTCAAATTATAATCCGGCCCTCCAACAGTTTGAGGGACTGTGACCTGGCCCTCTGTTTAAAAAGTCTGAGGACCCCTGCTCTAGCCTTTTGCCTACCTAGCAAAAAGATAGTTCCTTTTTAAAATAAAAGTTAAGGTACAGTACTTACATTGACCCATGGATAATTTGACCCAGGTTTTTTTTTTTTTTTTTTACTAAACTTTTAAACATATACATGAGTATATAGGGTTAAAAATGCTCTTTATATAGCTGCATATATTAACTAGTTTGGCAAAGGAACACTGCCTAGCAAAATACAACCCACTGGGGTGGAGGCAAAAAATGAGTGTGTTGAATAGGCAAGTAGTTGTGACAGGCTAAGCACTCCAATATCCGAAATTGTCCACACACGTTGCTGAGATAGTGACATCTCTGCTTTCTAATGATTCAGTATACACAAACCATTTTTCATGCATAGAATTAATCAAAACGTTCAATAAAAATACCTTTGAGTTATGTGTATGAGGTGTATATGAAACATACATTAATTTTGTGGTTAGACTTGGGCCCCATCTTCAAGATATCTCGTCATGTATGCATATGCAGATATAGGTATTCTGAAATCTGAAACACTTTAGTATTGTTGTACTTTTACTGCCAAGAAGGAAGAGAGGCATTGTGGGATTTTCTTCTTCTTATGCTTTCTGCATTATATCATGACTGGTCTTAGGTGCTTTGTAGCCTTATTTTGATATGGATGGAAGGATGTCCATTTACTGCTTTATCCCAAACAGTAATATGACTTTTCTCTAGTAGTGTTTTCATTTGGGCAAGAAGATCATAAAACTGTTCTGTTTCACATGGAAGTACAACACTGGCTTTCTTCAAATTGTTTTGAACATAAAAGTTTTGACATCTTGTGTTGTTTATTGTCAAGGTGACGATGGCCGACCGAGCTGCTGCTGAAAGGGCCTGCAAGGATCCTAATCCGATCATTGATGGCAGAAAGGCAAATGTGAACCTAGCATACCTAGGAGCAAAACCAAGGATAATGCAGCCAGGTATTAATAACATTTCTCTTTGCTTTCTGTCGTATCACTGGAGCAGAAAATGGCAGCTTAAACCCTATCTTATGTCAGTGAGACAAGGTCACAATGGCTAATTTTACAGTTGTGTCCTAATTAAAAAAAACCCAACTGTAACAGTATTATATTGTCATCCCATTCTGTGACTTTTCTCTCAACCAAGATATGTACAAAGTATCATGTTCTAATGCATATAAAACCTAACATTTGTATTTTTCATATACGTTTGCTTCATATACAGGTTGGTTATCAGAATGACATTACTGCTTTTTGAGCCCATATATAACTTGTATGTGAGCTTTGAAATTGTACACCATCACAAATTTGCTAATTAAAAACTAAGTGCCTGATTATGTGCACATTTCCTTGCATACGATCAATGCAATTATGTACTGTTAGGCATTGTAATGTATGTGAATGGAAGACACACAGGGCTAGGACTACAGTGGAGATGTTTCTGTAGGTATCTGTTTTGTATGGTATGTCAATTAGATCTAATGTCCTCCTTTGGATACTTTGGATACTTCTGGTAAATTAAAACAACAAACATAGACCATGTACTCTTGTAATAATGAACTGTTGATGACACAAGTTAACAAAATCAGCAGCCATCCAGCAGTTTATCTTTGCACATTGTTTCCATTTTTTTGTTGTTGTAGAAATTGGGAATAAGCTAAGTGAGAGTTGGAATGACTTCAGATTTTTGTATGTAAAGGACACAGTTTTACTATGCCGTTGTATATAATGGGAGTTGAATGTCTATGGACTTAGGTATTCACAAGGGGAAGGAGTGTCCTGTAATCAGACCTAAGCAGATGTCAAGGACCCCCTAACAGGCATTCTTACGTTAAAATGGTATTTCCCTTTTTGGTGGACCGAGCTTCAGCTTTAAAACTTAACAGAGCTCAGCAAAATGCTTTTCTGTGACTACTGAGCAACTCATGTTCAGGACACACACACCTTAGACCACTGGAGTGAGTTGAACTCTTAGTGCTTCTGATTTTAGAAATATCGTATTGTATTGGAGAATCTTGCTTCAGCTCTTATAGGGAGGATGACTAATTGCCACTGGAATCAAAAGTATGTGTATGAACATAAAATCATCACAGAATTTCTATGTAATGCACCAGTTCATTCTGAAAAACCTCTTCCATTCTCACTATGAAAGGTCATTTGTCAAACATTTTCTCAAACATTTTTTATAAGCTATTGTATTACTTCCAATGAACCTTTTAGGTCAAGGATGCACGTTTCTTGGAATATATCTGGAATGCAGCCCACAACAGCCTTAGTCAGTGTAGTCCAGGCAAGGAAAAACTTCGGCAGGTGTTTTGGACTTTCACTCCCACAATTCTTAACAATTCCAAAACACCTGGAGGGCTGAAGTTGGTATAGCCTATTCATCCACGCTTTAGCTTATATTTTTGAGCTGCACCAGTTTTTTTTAATTACACAGAAAGTAATTCTAATTAACGTATTAATGAGACAGCTAACATGAAAATAATATTGTTTCATTGCTTGGAGTACTAAGAACTCATTTATGCCGTTTATGGATTACATTGCTTATACATTCCAATGAACACTTTGGGAATATAGTATTATTTCTATGGGAATGAATGATATTGCATGCTCGGACAAAAATTGGTTTCTAGATAATGCCTCAGATCTGACATCATGTCAACCACGCAAGCTTAATTATAGTTTGGGTTAATGACTGAATTGAAATGCCATTATTTGCAGTTGGCTGGTAAGCTGGAAACTGTTCCTTTGGTGTTGATTTTCAAACCATAGTTTGTACCATGATTTTTTTTATGATATCTGAATAGACAGATCCTTATTTCAGACATTTTCCTAGTTACAGAGGTTGTGTCCTGTGAACAAAAGAGCAAACTCATGAAACTGAATACTAAAAAGGCAAGAAATACAAGCAACTAAATTACTACTTTAATTACTGTCAGTATTCAGTTTGTTTATTTCAGATGAAATTGTTAAATAATGGGTTAGTTAAGGCTTTGTGAATGAACAAAAGGAAGCCTCAAACTTCTATACTTTTCCTTCTACCTCCTGTTGCTGTCACAAGGAGGAAACCAAAAGTATATATTACCTTTCTTTAAAAATAATAACCATAATTTAGGTAGGTGTGTTACCTCTGTCTCAGGAACTCTGGTTAGGGATAATATTGGGATAAAATTTCCAGATAAAATTGCCAAACTAGTATCATAAGGACTTCATGTACAGAAAATGTTCCTGATCTCCTGAACATGATTAAGAACATGCAACAGAATCCCATGATCCTAACTTTTTTATGTCTTTTATATGAAATCTGCTCTTCATTCCACGGTTTCTTTTAATAATAATACGGCATTATTTCTGCACCAGTGCTAGTTAGCCAGCTTTGCACTAACAAGATTACTTGCAACCAAGTTTTTAGAAACCCAGTTTGAATTCTAGTTAAGAAGAAAAACTGGTTCAGTGTTAATCATGTCTGATACTAGTAAGTCTCCATTATGGTTAAACCAAAAGGTGGAATTCACATAAGAGAATAAAATATGCAAACATTTGACAACCCAAGTTAGGAACTGTAAACATTATGTCTCCAAGTTATGTATAAATCTTTCACATTTTACACCAAACTCTAGGGATATATAAGAAGCAATTATTTGCATATTAATTTTAAAAAGGGTTTTATACTCTGTACTGCTAATTTTATCAAAATACAGTTTACTCTAATTTGTATGTCTGAACAGTGTCATTTTTATTTGCAGTTAATACACATTTTAGTATTTTTGTCTGCTTTCCTTCCTTAAGAATGAATATGATCATCACTGAGAAGTGTGTATTTAATATGTCACAATCTTACTCTAATTTATCTGAGGCTATTTCCCCTTAAGCATAGTGGGGCTTATTTCTTAATGGATAAGTGCAGTATTGCTGTATAGGCATAGAAAATATCAGTGAACAGACACTCATATAGAGAATGTAATGTGTTTTGTTGTTAGGTTTTGCCTTTGGTGTTCAGCAGCTTCATCCGGCATTAATACAGAGGCCTTTTGGGTAAGTCTACTTTAACTTAGTTTTTGGGGTGGGGAAAAGATAATATATAAATGTTAATGGCAATAAAGTTATACCGGCAATATAATGGCAATGAAGTTATATGTTTTCCAAATTTCCAGATAAAATTGCCATCACTTCGTTTAAAACTCTCTTAATGAATGAGTCAAGTGGTGTAAGAAGCATGCCGACCTTGCACTCAAGCAGTCCTGAGCTTTTCATGTGGTGGTAAAACAAGAAGGTGTGCCTTTAGTAAACAAGCCACTGTGCCCCATTCAGTGTTTTTCTTTAGCTTGACTCAATGTTATTTATCTCTTTCTAATCTGACAGGGATCGTTTACAGTTAAGATAACTGATGAGAAGGATATGATGATAAGAGGTGGAATAGTTCTGTTTGGAATTAAACTCTGTAACCAGTAGACTCAAAACACACAAACAAGCTAAAATGGTGATTAACGATGCATGTATGTTTTTTCTATATAGTCAATAGATATCTGTGTGCTTTTTTATTTATTACAGTAATGAAGTGGTGTTTATAGCTAAACTGTGTGCTTTTATTTAATTGAAAGAACTGTAGTGAAAGTTTTTGGTGGTCTTCTCATTTTGGTTTTGTGAGAAGTGTTGACTTTGCCATGGGGACCAAAGGGGCTTATTCCCTTTTTTTTTTGTTTTTGTTTTGCTTTCAAGCTGAAGCCTGTGACTTCTTTGGGTTTCTTTTTAACCATATTTTGTAGTGAGTGCTAAATTTGTGTGACTTCCTTTTTGATTTCTTTTTTTAAAAAAGAAAAATCAATATTGCTTGCATGTTACAGTTTTGGTTTTGTTCCTTGGGAAGGGTGTGGAGCTCTCTACATTAACAGCATACATCCATTTGCACTTTCCCATCAGTGAAAGATTTTTTTAGACTGAATAGGTAGTAATTTACTTATAAGTAGGTTATTCTTAAAATTGCCTTACTTTGTTCTGCAATTAATCATGAAAATAGGACCTTGAAGTCTGCTTGCTTATATTTCATTTTCACTATCTCTTCTCTAATTCTGGCTGAGTAAGACACAATATATTAATAAAGTAATTAACAAGAAAGGAAAGGGGATAGGTTATACAGATACAGTGGCCATGTTGGCAGTGGAGTTGTACTTTTAAAAAGCATTTTCTCAAGGTCTACATAACATGCAAGCCTAATTGACAATTTTTGAACTACAGGTACATCTCAGTTAACAAACAAGATGTGTTTGTAGACATTACTTCTTTAACAGAAAAGTAGTACCAAAGGCATGGAAAGTATGTGGATAGATTCCTAAACCATAAAAAAGAAAAGCATTTAACATGTTTCTATAAATCATTTATTCAAAGCTAACACTATGCACTTGTAAAATAAAACAACCAGATCTGATAAGCTTTGCATAGGTAAACAAAACTTTACAGATCTTATGGAATTGACTTGAAAGCTTCTTTCAAAATAGATCTATTTTTTAAAGTATCTTTAGGATAGCTGTTGAAGCAAGCTATCTGCATTCTATTTTTCTCTTTCTGTTCAGACATGCTCACTGAAGGATTTTTGGGTCAGCTGCTTTTTACCTACCCTGTTGTAGGCAGGCACACATGTATACAGGAGAATTGCTATATTACAATTACATTTTCTCCCAGTTCTAGCTTTGTTGCATAGTTTACTGCAGATATTCTGCTGCAAACCAACATGTAAAGTCTCTTCCTCCACAGTCCTTCACCATCCTCCCAATGTTCATTCTACTAGACATTCCAGCTAGTCAGAATGGGGGGGGGGCACATAAGAGGACTGAGCGGGCATGAAAGAATGTGGAAAAAGGGCTTCCTTTCTCAGAGACTTTGTTAACTGAGGTATGCCTGTACTATAATTCTCATGAAATGACAACCAAAATATAAATTAGATTGCTCTAGAACTGATCTTCTGTGAAGAGAAGACCACCATCATTTGTTGGGAGTAACTGGGGCCCTATCCACACTGCTATATAAAATCCAGATTTTCTGCTTTGAACTGGATTATGTGACAGTGTAGACTCATATAATCCAGTTCAAGGCAGAGGTACTGTTTTATTATCCAGGCGGAGGCCAAAAGGGGGCGCTAAACAGAGGATAGTCCATTGCCTGGAGGGAGGGGGGTTTGAAGGAGTTAAACCATTTCCCCCTGTTTTCCAGTTATTCCCTCCACCCATGTCACCATCATGGAAACTACCCTCGTTTATAATATGTGAAGTGGGGAGAGGGAATAACCAGTGAAAACGGGATAAATTGTTTCCCTCCTTCAACCCCCCCCCCCCCATTAAAATGGACTATCCTTCTCTGTCTGTCCCCTTTTTGTTCTCCACTCAGATAATGGAACAGTACCAAAGCAGATAATCTGGATTATCATCTTTGATAATCTGGATTATATGGTGTAGATCTATCCTGAGACCCGTTAGTCTCCATCCACAGAGAGGAGGACCTGAGATAGTGTTTTGTGATTCCTTCTTCACAAAAAAAGCCCCCAGCTCCACTCTCAGTTACTTCTTTGTGTAGTGACCTTAGCCTCCAAAGTAGATTTTGGGTGTCATTGTGGGGTTGCTAGAAGGGTGGGTGATTGGTGAAAATTGCCTCCCTGCCTGAAGTTTTACCCAATGTGTAGAGTTACACTTTATTGCTTTTTAATGCAGCCAGTTGGGTACAGTTGCATGTAACTTTGCCAAAAGCCGACCAAAATTGAAAAGTGGAAAGCAAAGTGAGGACTGGAAAGTTTATGGGAAATGACTACATTTCCATTTGGATGTCTTTTTACTTCGTTTCCCCCTCAGCTGTGTTTTTCAACTAGAGGGAACAAAGATGTGGGAACTTTTATCTTTTCCTACATGTATAATGAATAATGTAGGGAATGTATGTAGGGAAGATGCAAAAGTATCCAGGTTGAGTAGAAGGAACATCCCCAAATTCTTATGGTAATAAGTTTGTTAGGACAACCAAAAGGATCCAACATTGTTTAAAAACTTTCTAGAATTTTAGCTCTCTTCATCAGGCAAAGTGTTTCAAAAACTAGATGTATGGAAGGCAGGGAAGACTTGATGTTAAGAGTTGTGTGCTCTGCATGTTGTCTGTAGTGTGACGTGTGCAGAGAAGTGTTCAGTGAGAGAAGTAACATAAGAAGGGAAAGGGTGAAGCTGTCCCCTTCCTACTACTGTTCCACTGCTTTAAGTTTGCTGCCTATCACTTTTGCTTAAACAATCAAGAGAAACTCGCAAGTGCATGTGGCATCTAGTTCCAGACAGCCATTGAGTATTAAATTTTGCTTATAAAATTGTAGCTATCTTCTGTTCACCTATATTTCTTTTGCAGAAAACTATGATGACCGACCTGCCATTTGTTTTGAATTACCGTCTTTTCATTTCTCCTAAACTCTAAATAGTTCAGAAACAGTTAATTATTTTATAATATTAGACAAATAACTCCTTACATTGTGTTTATATTTAAACCCAATACATATTCAGTATACTTATTACAAGATGGTTTTGTGTAAATAGATAAAGAGGTGAATAAGCAATCGTTAAGTTGCCACAAGATCTTTTGTTCTCTTTTTATGATATAAGTAGAATAGAGTTGCCGTTTGCACTAAAAGAACCTTGTTGACATCAGTGTAATCACGAACTGAAAGGAAAAGATTTACCATCTTCTCTATATCTTTGAGCCTTGATTTCTCTTCTTGTGGCTGCTATCTAAATTTTGACAGCCAGAGATCAATTGCCGTTAAACAGTTGATACCATGTCTAGTTTGACCTTAGCCAGTCTGCTAAATAGGATAGACAGATATAAGACTTCTGCCCTTTTAGTAGCTGGGTAGAAGAAGGGATTTCCTATACAGCTTTTAAAAGTGCAGGCACCTTCTCTACTTTTACATTTGGCTACTCTAAATTTGCCACAGAACTTACTTAGTTTAAGTCCTGTACATTTCTACTTGGAAGTAAATCCCTCTGAGTTCTATGGGACTTGGACAAGTGTGTGTGGGATTGAGTTTTTTATTAAATTGCAATCTGCACATGCATTTTGGAAAATAAAGCAGAATATTTGGCTATTTTATCAATTTATGAACTAATTGCAGTTCTGTTTCATCAGTATGTGAGATTTACCAAGGTCAGCATTAATGAAGTGGCCCAGCTCACAATATTTTGATGGTGTCATCGTTGGAATCCTCGAGGTCCCTGTAATCTTGTATGTTCCAGCAATCACAGATGTACACAGTAGTTTGTGTTTATGCAGCCATATTCTTAATTTAAGTTAAGGGGGAAGGACACAGCTTTCATATTGCATGTTCATTGCTGGATATAAGTTAGGGATTCCAGCATGAATAGGAGTACTACTTCTGTCGAGGAAATTATTTGCTTAGAACATGGAAGACATTCAGATAAGTATTCCTAATAATGCATGCTAAATGCCTCTGTTTCAAACATGGCTAAGGGTGCATCTACGCTATAAAATTAATGCAATTTGACACCATGTTAACTGGCATGCATCAGTGCTATGGAATAATGGGAATGACAGTTTTGCAAGATTTTTAGTCTTCTCTATCAAAGAATGATGGTGTCTCAACAAACTACAAATCCCAGGATTTCATAGCACAGAACTGTGGCAGCTAAAATGGTGTTACACAGCATTAATTCTACAGTGTAGATGGACCCTAAGTGGAAGAATTTAAAGTTGTGACATACCGTATTTACTTGAGTCTAATGCACCATTGAATTTAATCTAATTTTTAAAACCTTGAATTTTTTTTTACCATATTACGCTAATCTAATGCACACCCTAATTTTGGGAAAGTAATTTAGTTTTTAGTTTTTAAAAGGTGGGCATTAGAATTGAGTAAATATAGTATTTCAAAATAAATTCACTTTCATTTTAGCCTTATAAACTTCCGTTTTGCACAGAACTTTTATTAAGGTCTACACCAGGGGTCCTCAAATTAAGGCCTGGGGGCCACATACGGCCCTCCAAGGTCATTTACC